TTATCTGTCGAAAGGGCACATGAAGTTATTCTATTTTAATTGATAAAATGAGATTAAGAAGAAAAAGAATATTTCCTACAATTTATTTGTTAAAGTGATTTTAGAAGAAAGAAAACAAGAATAGTGTTCTTTAATAATATTTTAATTAGGAAGAAGATGTGTTTAAAAAGAAAAAAAATAATATATTTATTCGGAAAAGGGCATTTTTGACCTATTTTGTAATTATAGGGGCATTTCTGAACCAAAATATTTACTGCAATGGCATTTTTAGCCAAAGTATCGACGGTAGGGGTATTATTGAGCCTAACTATAAACTGAGAGCATATTTATTCCTTTCACATAGTTTAAGGGCATTTTTGACCCTTTTTTTCCTTTAAAAATTAAGATACATAGAATCATCAAGAGAGATGTTGCATCCATTTTTAGAAGATGAGCGATCATAAGAGAAGATTTTCTTAGATGCTAAAAATGTTGTTGATATGATTCAAGTGACAATATTATGGGAGAAAGAAGTGTTGTGTAAAAACTCAAATTCAATATAACAATAGCCACTTTTCAACTATATTAACAAGAGTAAAGTTCAATTATAATTCTCAAAAGTTAACGTAATAACTAAAATGGTAAAAGCCCCAGAACAAACATATAGAAATATTGAAAGTAAGACTATGGATTGATAGACCAAAGAAGGGAGATGAGAAAATACAGATATTTGGAAGGGAGATAAGGAGAATCAGACTTTCACACAACAATAAGCATAACTTTTCTTTCCAACTCCTCTTCCTTTTGAACAAATTGCTAATTGGGTCTGGATCTCAAATCAATCTTTTCGGCCCAATAATTGATTATGTGACGTCAAAATTCATGTCGGGCTGGAATTGATTCATAACATACTGTGTGAAAATATTTGAACGCTTTCAAACAGGTTCAATCATATCAAATATATATATATATATATATAATTTTATTTTATTTTTATTTTTATTTTTATTTTTATTTTATTTTATTTTTGGGAAAAGTTCTTCCCAAACTAAGCTAGTATTTGGGCCCAAGTTTTTCGAACAATATTTGACTATTTCAAAAAAAATATAATGTATATCCATAAGTTCTAAAAACTATTAAAAATACTCATAAATTTGTATTATCTATTTATAGTGAATTTATTCCGTTAAAATAACATTTTAACATAATTGATAGCAATCAACAACAACAAAATAACAATAGTATATGCAAGACAATACATTAATCGCATATTCAAATTTGTCACTGATTCAGTTATAATTATAACCCATTAAAAACTTGTTCTTTTTTCTCAATTTTGTCACTCAAATTAGAAGTCGAACTTTTCCGGAAGATGTAGTAACTAATTTTAGTTGGAATTAATAAATAAATAAATAATGGGTATCTTTTTTTATAAAATATAAAGTTTGGGGTAATTTTTGAATTTTATAAACTTCCAAATATTCGAACTTGGCCCAAATACTAGTTTTTTCTAGTATTTGAGAACTTGAAATACTTGACAAATATATTTGCCAAGTTATATGACCAAACACTACTTTTCAAGTTTTCTTTTAAAAAGTTCAAATATTTTTTGGAACCAAACGGATCATAAATCCTACCGAATGCTAAAGATATATTTACATTATGTAATTCGTTGATGCAATAATAAAAGATATTATGCTTCGGAGAAAAAAAATTATTTAGAAGATGAGTGAGAGGTATTATTATTAGATTTGAAGGTTAGTTAAGTTTGATATAAATAAGTACATGCCACGTATGATTGTTGGCATCAATTAAAAGGAAATGTTTGACCATTGATTTTTTTTTTTTTTTTACTCTGTGTTATAAAATAAATGAATTTTGAGTTCGATACATCATTTAGGAATTTTATTTTTTATTTTTATTTGTTCATTATATAGAAAACCTGTAATTTGGTTAATTGATAAGTTTTATTTGCGAGAGTGTGATTTTCCACTTTGTAATTTTCTTTCTTATTTTACTTCTCCTTACCCCATTTAGGAAAAAAGAGTTCACTAATACTGAAAATACATTTTTCATCTTTATTTATTACTTTTCACATGTTAAGAGAAAATTATATTTTATTTTCTTTATATTTTATCCTCAATATTAATTACTATTTTTTTTTTTTACATATTTTCTTAAAACCTAAGACTATACATCAATTATAGTTATGAAAATCCAATCGGGAAAGGTCTTGCTCATGGTGGTAAGCGAGGGAGGATCTAGTAAAGGGATAATGCCGCTTTATACTAATATAGTCCCGAGTTGGTAATTAGAGTTAGAAGCTTCACAGCTTCCTCCACTCACCTCCACGGGAAAATATAGTCTACTAGACTAGCCAAGAAAGAGTGACGTAGACTATATTCTAGGTCATTCGGAAGGGCTTCGTATAGTTTTGGGGTGTAACTTATGATTGTTGTGGTAAATGGTAATATAGTCATATTAAGAGCATGTTTGACATTATTGTTGGGGAGGCAAAGAGTGTTTTTTTCTTTTTGTGAAAATAAATATTTTTTTGAAAAAAATAATGTTTGGTAAATTCTTAAAACTGCTTTTAAATGAAAACATATCAGTTTTTCTGTTTTTAGAAAGAAGCTAAAAAAATTTGTTTCTTAAAAAAAACATAAGCAGAAAAATATTTCTTGAAGACAAAAATATCTCTCTCATATATACATATTTATCAATATATCCCTTATTAACAAATTAGCATATCTCATAAGTTTGGTTAAGTTGCATTAAAAAAGTTTTTTATTTTTTTATAATAATTTTCTTTTATATTTATATATTATTATTATTTTATATTTTATATATTATATTACGTTTTATTTTATAGAATTTGAAATAAATGTAACAATAACATTTTTGTAGGATTAAAATTATGAAGGACTTTATTTATTTTTGTGGTTAATTTTTCGTATATAGTGATTTAATTTGTGGAATGATTTTTAAATTTATTTTTCTTGATATTTTGAATTATATTTAAGTCATCATGTTAATATTATATTAATAATTAATTTATTTATTTATGTATAATATTGATTGAATATATATATAAATAAAATAAAATTTTAATTAAAAATTTCTAATAGATATTTAAAATAGTTTCTCTCTATAAAATAATCTTAATATTAAAAGTATATCGATACTTACCCTTTTTCGTAATTTGACTCTCAAAAATACTTTTTAAAAAGATTAGTCAAACATGATTTGCTTATCAAAAACACTTTTTGAATGAATTTGCGGCAAATTATTTTTTTTCAAAAGCACTTTTTTAAAAGTCATTTTGAAAAAGTGTTTCTAAAAATAAACAGTTTTTAGCAGTAGAGCCAAACAGGCTCTAAGTGTGTGCAAAATTCAACGTAATGAATTTATGTTTATTAGTTAATATATTTTAAGAAACAATATGTATGTTAAATATATAATTTGATATTATTTTTAAAGATACATTTTCTATTATTATTTTTAAAGATACATATTTATTAAGCGTTAGCTTTTAATTTTTGATAAGTAACTTTTATTTTAAACTTTACTTTAATTATGTTATTACATCAACCAAACAACACACTTGTGATTACACTATAATTACATTATGAAAAATAAAAATGTCATTATGTGTAATCACTAGACTGTATAACTACTTAGAAAATTACTTCAGTTTTAATTAATAAGCAATTTTACAAACAATCCCTAAAAAAAAAAACTCCTAAGTTTTAGAGTTTAGATAGCAAGTAAAGAAATTCCAAGGAACATACAAACCAGTACAAGAATATTAAGGTCATCAGTATTTTTATGGCAAAAGTACTCATTACCCCCTGAACTTGAAGCTTTTTATACGGTGTACATCTAAACTAATTAAATTCCGTTTTAATTACCCCCGAACTTGTTTATTCCTCCATTGCGTACACCTTTTTCGTCCACCTGGCGTAGAAATTGACAACACACTCTACTAGGCGCGTGAGGAAGTGATTTTTTGCCATATCATAAAGCTACAACTGTAAAAAACGTAAAATCTCCATTTTTCTTTAATGTTTGACATATTTTAAAGATTTTTCTCTCTCTATTCTCTAACTATTTATTCTCCCTAATCCCTTTTCAAATTTCAGAATTTTTCTCTCTTTTTTGTTTTAATTGCTCTTGCTAAATTCATGAATTATAATAGGAGACTTGTTTGCTTATGTGGAACTCCTCCAATTCTGAAAATTTCATGGACAAATGACAATCCCGGACGTAGATTTCTCGATTGTAGACACTATGGGGTATGTATTGTTTCATTTTTTTTTGCTTTTTATTTGCCAAGTTCGTATTATGTAATTTTTTTAACTTTGATTTTATAAAATACAGTCCTCATTTCGAAATCCTTGTAAGTTTTTCGATTGGTATGATCCAGAATTTCCTAGTCAGGCGAATACTGTGATTTTGGGTCTGTTGAAGAAGACCAACAAACAAGAAAAACAGCTGAAGTGTAGAAGGATGTTGAAACTGATTTTGGGCATTAGTTTGATATGTAATGTGACATTGTTCTTTTATTTAGTGTGTCGTTGAATTTTTTTTTGTGAATGCAATTGTTATTAGCACAAGGTCTTTTGGTTCTAGGGTTCTCATTTTGTGGATTAGTTTGGTTTGGTGTTTTCGTGATGATGTTTCTGCTGATTAAAGCTATATATATATATATATATATATATATATATATCTTTGTGTATGTTCAATTGACTTGTCCTTTTTTCATAAAACTATAGTTACATGTAATTGGTAATATGATAACAAAACACGGAATAATAACAGAAAGACATAACATAACTAGTGCTTTCTTGATCATCAAACACAAACATCATAGTGTTTCATTGTTTCAACCAACAACCACAATAACTTAAGTTAACCACCAAAACAAAAAATAGTCACTACTATAAGTTTGGTTGAACAACCACACAAGTACCAAAACACAAAACAGACACTACTTTAAGTTTGGTTGAACAACCACACAACTAAGAAGTTTTCTTTAAGGGTGATTCTCCCTTGGCTTGTGCCCTTGTTTGAATTCCAACAACTTTTGATCTGGTTTGAATATGATGCATAACACTTTGGACTTGAAGTTCTCTTTGAGTCATGGCCTGTTTGCCTTTCCACTTCAGTCCCTTGGTAGGTTTTAAATCAATATCACCTGTCACATGCGCAGACCTCACCACACCAGTATTAACCCTCCTATTGCTAGACAATCCTTGCTGCAATATTAACAACATAGTTATTTTGGGTCTCATATTTAAAAATATAATTTTGACAGTTTTATAAGACACTTACATTAATATATGTATATCCAGTATCAGCAACAAATACAACTTGTCCAACCACTTTAGGCCTCTTCTTGTAACCACTTCCTGCACCTCTTCTTGTACCAGTCTTGCTGCTGTTTGCTCTTTCATATTGACCTCTACCCCTCTTTTTTCCAGTGGTGGACTAATGTGAGTAGAAAAAGAATATAACAAGCGACTAAATTAATAAGTAACCTAATCTAATTTATAAAAGCAAATTAATGTGAATGTACCTCTTGAGTGGGTGTTGGTGTAGACTTAGGTTTAGGATTTTTTGGACAATTTCTCTTGTTATGATTTGCTCCTTTGCAAATTGAACGTGTCATTATTGTCCCCATTCTTGGCAACTTCCCAGTTTTTCTCACTTCACCAATTTCTCTTCTTCTATTCTTTGGTGGCCTACCAGGCATTTGCCTTGCCTCAGGTGGTTCAACCATTGAGTTTCTGCTTTCAGGCCACATTTCCATGTTTGGGACTGGTTAAATGAAATGCGAATATGTCTTCAGATATGTCTCTTTTCTATACCAGTTTGAAATTGCTTGTGATGCATCCATGTTCAAGTGGTTCATTGCTGCTATACCATGTACACATGGGATACCTTTTAATTCCCAAGATCTGCAACTACATTTCTGTTGACCCAAGTTCACAGTATGCTTGGATACCCCTTCTAACACTTCAAATCCATCATCACCATTCCATTCAATGTTGCACTACATTGATCTTGTTACATTGGTATTGAATACCATCATTGCCATTGGAGATATTTCATATGTCCATGTCTCAGCAAATGCTCTTGACTTACTCACCCTACTCATCACTTTAACTCTAATTTCTTCCAACATAGCTACAATAGTCTTGTTCCTAGGTCCCAAGATCCAAGCATTGAAACTCTCTGCCATGTTGTTAGCTATACTATCACATTTTGAAAAAGTTTGGAAAATAGCTTTGCACCATTTCTCCTTATTTTATTTGATAAGGGCTTCAACTATACCTTTTCCCAATTTGGATAGGGCATTTATATTGTACTTAAATTGTGCCTCAAATGTTGATCTAGCACAAGCCCAAAATTTCTTCCTTCTCTCTATGCCTCTGAAGTTTTGTGACCAATTTGCTAATATGTGTCTAGCACACATTCTGTGCTCACATTCTGGAAATCGTTCATCTACAGCAGCTATTAGTCCTTGTAGTTGCAAAGCAAAATAATAAAGATAGTTAAATTTTGATCAAATTAAATTAAAGATAAAAAAAAAAAAAAAATTCAGTTACCTTTTGCATATCACTAATGATAGTGAGCTGGGAACCATCTCCTAGATTAAGATCATTTTGCAGAATGATCATGAACCATTTCTATGTCAACTTGCTTTCAATACCAATTACTGTCCATGCTATTGGATACTTTGGTTGTTGGCATCCTTAGCAACAACTACCAAAAGTTGACCTTTACAAATTCCTTTTAGAAAACACCCATCCAACCCTATACATCTTCTGCATCCTTGTTGGAAACCCTTTTTCATAGCATCAAAACATATATAAAATGAGTGAAACTGTTTCATCCCATTTTTTGATTCTGAATCTTTAAACTTCACAACACAAGTGCTACTAGGATTTGTTTGGAGTAATACATCCCTGTAGTCTAGGATTCTGTTAAATTCGGCCATATGATCCCCCATAATTTCCTTTAAAATAATTTTTCTTGTTTTTAAACAAACTGCCTTACCTACATGAACATTCAACTCTTTCCTCACCAAATCTTGTATTTCCCACCCTTTTATACTAGGTTGAGAAATAATCCTATCTTTCAAATACTTACATAAAAATATTGAATTACACAAAATATTATTGGTGGTCCTGGTACATTTGTGCCTTGGGTTGTATGTCTTGATAGTGAAGTTATCACTCCTCCCTTCCTTGGTTGCATACAACAGCCATGGACAACCACTTTTACACTTGACTCTTACTCTAGTACTCTCATTCACATACTTGTCTAACTCAACTCCTTTTGTTATAGCATATTTTGTAACTGCCTCTCTAAATTCCTTTACACTTTCAAATACCAAACCACACTGTCATATTACAACATCACAAGTAGAATCATATATCACTCTATTACTCTTCTTTCTTCCCCTTAAACTCCTTCCTTCAAGTTCATCATCAGAAACAGGTTCTTATTCATCACTTTGAAAACTATCACAATCAGAACTGTCATAGTATGGCTCATCCTCTGTTAGCTTACCCATGAATTTTTTTTTGCCTTTTTCAATATCCTCATACCCTTCATCAAGTCCAACTTCACCTAAAAACCCTTTTGTTTTTTCCTTATTCTTTCTCCTCATACTTTCTTTAAACTTTCTCACATCTTCCTTAACAATCCTCAACTCCTCATGCACATCACTTCCATAGTCAATAGACTGGTCAGAACAAATAGAATCACTGTTTATGTCTTCCTCTGCATTTACTTGGGCACTTGGTTCAACTTCTTCTTGAATAGAAGGTTCAGTTCCTTGTTGGATGGTAGGTTCACCTTCTTCTTCAGTATCAGTCCAATCTATTGAAGAATAATCATCATCAGTTTCTTGTTGGACCCTTGCAACCCCATCATTTTCAACTATTTCACTAGATGGAAAGGAAGAAGAGGAACCTAACCCTAGATTTGGTTTTTTTGGCTGTGCAGTTAAAGAACCATCAGATTCCCCATGTGCATTAAAAGACTCAACCACTTGACTTAAAGATTGACTAATTTGACCTTCACTGAGACCCACATCCTCCAGAATAGTGTCATCACACACATAAATATCTATTGTGTCCCCATCATGCATAAATAATGCAATGTTGCAAATGTCCATGTCATTTTTTAATTCCACCAAATCACCCCTAGAGACTTAGCATAAGTTTATCCTAACTTACTAATCCCAAAAGACTTAGCATAATCTGCAAGTTCAGGAATTGACAAATGATCTTCATCCATATTCTCTACATATTCAGTCCTACCCCCAACATATATTGGACCTACCTCACTCACCAAGATACCCCCAAATTTGAACTTAAATTGAGGTACTTAGTAGCCATAGTGTCAACCTATAACCACCAATAACAATCAATATATTGTACAAGGCAACAACAACAAAACATATGCAACAACAACAAAACAGAGGCAATAACACCAAAAAACATACAATCTCACCAAAACAGAGGCAACAACACCAAAACAGAAGCAACAACACCAAAAAATATACAATAACACCAAAACAGAGGCAACAACACCAAAACAGAAGCAACAAAACCAAATTTAACTCATAAGCATACAATTATACAAGGAAATTATAATAAACAATACAAAAACATAATTGGTACTTAGTAGCCATATTACTCAACATCATACAAATATACATAAGGAAATTACAAAATACCCCACCATTTAACAATACCAAAATAGAATATTGAAATAAAAAATCTAGAATCTTAATTTTACTAAAAAGCCCTAATTTTTTGAACTAATTACCAGAAACCCTAATACTCATGCATGCATAAGCTGAATGACTTCATAATAATACATTCATTAAGTGAAAATTCTAGTTGAAAACCATAAAACCCCTAATCGGAAACTCAATCGGAAACTATGGCGAAACCCTAGTCAAATTACGGCGAAACCTTAAACGAAAAATAGGGCAAAATATAAATGAAATAGTAAAGGAAACAAACAATAACACATCATAAGAGTGGATAATCACTTACTTGGTAACAATTTCAAACAAGATCAAAAGAAAATCGATCAATCGACCAAACGCTTCACGAAATCGAGCAAGCCTTCACGTCTAAGAACTGCAACTGACCCAAATCCAGAAAGAGTTCCGTGAAATCTACCCCTTTACTCCGTCGATTACACTTCTTAGAGGGCCAAAAGTTTTGAAATCTGTCGTCGTCCGTCGATTACACTTCTTACCAAAAGTTAGAGCTTAGTGAGAGGTTTAGAACTTAGTGAGAGGTTTAGAGATTAGTCCAGAAGTTTTAATCTAGGTGACAAACCTGACATTTAATTATCTAGGTGGCTAATAATTTATCTAGGTGTCATGCGCGTGTAGACACGATTGGAGTGATCGGACAATAAAGGTGTATGCGACGGAGGAACAAACAAGTTCGGGGGTAATTAAAACGGAATTTAGTTTAGGTGTACACCGTATAAAAAGCTTCAAGTTCAGGGGGTAATGAGTACTTTTGCCTATTTTTATTAAATTTTGAGTTAAAAATTTGTGACACAAACCTTATTTGCGTAACAATTTTATGACGAAACCACAAGTTTGTCACAAATTTATAATGAGATTGTGATGGATTCTTATTTTTGTTATAAATTTGTAACAGAATTGTGACCAGCCATCATTTATGTCACACATTTAATTTGTAACTGAATTGAATTGTGACGGACCATTTAGTCCTTAACAAAATTTGTCCACTAAATCCGAATTAGTAATGAATTTGTTTGTTACAAATACTCCGTCAAAATTTGTATTTTTCTTGTAGTTAGTTAGTGATCCTCCTATAGTTATTATTATCCTAACTAGCAATTTGATCAAATTCACAGCCTAAGCATAGGTGTTTCTCATTAAACTGCGTCCAAGATTGAGCTATGAGATTTAACGGCGGACTTAAAAAACTATTGACAGTTTCAAAACAGAGACATAAATTGGGACAATATTACTACTAGCTTAAAAACGGCGTGACACACTGTGATGGAAATTCAACTTCCTTGTGACCAGTTTACTTTCTTATGTTGTACCTTTTCCTTTGATAATTATGTTTGTATTTGAGCATGAGCTAACCTATTACTTTCCTCTTATCTCTTAAAGCTTTTAAATTTGACAGTTCCCTGATCACCCAGGTGATCCGAGTAAAAGGGGGATTTGTTGTTTCTAAACAACCAAATGTGTCATAAATAAGAAGGCATGACATTAGCCCAACTGATGATATCAACTGCATCTTCTTAATGTAGGCCAATTTATTGATCTGTCTATGGTGCAATTCTGGCTAACAATCTGCCAAAAAAAATTGGCACAATAGGAGCAGTTGGAATTGATGTTGAGGGCAATCAATATATGAAGTCGAAGTTTTTAAACCCCACAATTAGCTAGAAAACAATTGCTATTTTTGTGTAGTAACTTGTAATATTTCTGTTGATAATTCCAAAGTCTTATATTTAATTTTAAATGTTAGACTAGTAAATAGCCAAGTGAAAAAGCAAACGCAAATAGTATTCCCAAGCCCCAAACATTTCAAATGGGAGGAGAATGTAATTATTTTGTCGACCGGTTTCTAAGTATGTTTAAATAAGAATAGTATCCATTTAAAAGTTTACAAGTATTATTTGTAATTATTGCTATAGAAACTTTTTTTTTTGGTTGATCGAATATGTTTGCGTGTTCAACCCATTAACTACAATTTTAGCAAATAAAAATCCTGTAAATATTTAAATAAAAAAAGAACATACAATCTTCCAAATTCAAACACTTAACCATGCTTTACTTGCTTAAAGCTCTGGATCGACCTAGCGAGTTGGAACATCTTTGTGTTAAGTATTGTCAGTTTATTTTGTTTGAACGTTACTTTATTTTTTAAATATTAATTGAGTATGCACATTTGGCAAAATTTTCTATAGTATGAACAATAAAGGAATAAAAAGAAAACACGATTGTGGACAACTTAAAAAAAAAAAAAAGTTAATAAAACTAAGGGAAAATGGTTCGAAATATATTCGAACTTTGATCGAAATTACTGTAAGAATCCCAAATTTTGGGGAGGATCTATTACCATTTACCCATGCACTATTTAATAGTGTATTTTAAAGTTTTATATGTGCCCACGTGGACAAGTTACTATTTATAATAATGCAATATTTATGATGTCTATGTGGGCACATATATACCTTTAAAATACACTATTAAATAGTGGAGGGTAAAAGATCATACCCAAAGTTTGAGATTGTTACAACAATTTCAATCAAAGTTTAAATATATTTCAATTTTTTTTTTTCCTAAACTAATGAATCATCAACACGCGAATTATGAAAAAGTACACACCAGACATATGCCTTCCAATTTTCACATCTTAAGCATGGAGAGTTTTATTTCAATTTTATGAAATAAGATACTTCCTAACAAAAAATAGCATTTGACATTTACTTTTAAGATTTCAATATCTAATCGCGTCGAATAACATCCTTTTTAAGCCTATCCACCCTACATACCTTGACCACATCATGAAGCATCAACCCGTACCGGTGGCTCATGGTCCCATCTCTTGGTCGGTCGTCCACTTGATTGTATAGTTTGTTTCTAATTTCCTATGGTCAGACTACCATAAAGAATATGGACCTCTAACTAATATTCCAAAAAAAGGAAAAAGTTTGGCTCTAATTGAGCAATTATTTTAATTCATTCACTTTTATTTGTTATTTTATTTGATATATATTTTTAATTTTATTTATTTATTTTAATATATTTAAAAAATAAACTTATTTTTTATTTTGTTGTTAGTATTAATTTTTTATTTATATTATTTTTCGAAAGAGATGCAAACGTTTATTGCGAATAAATAAAAATGAACGAGAGAGTGCTTGTCTGTCATTATTTATTTTGACAATATTAGCTGTCTTTTGTCAGTGGCATTGAAAAGGGGGTATTATCGTAGTTTCTACGAAACTCAAGGGCGTTTGTGTTCTGCTACTCTCAATGATATACACAAAAAAAACCCAAAAGTGGTACTCAATTGCCTTTTTCATCGGAGTTTTACCATTACTGCTACTATATTACACTCCAATCGCAATACGGAAAAGTAGCGGTACCGGAAAATGTGCTCCACTAAACAAAAACCGAAGCAGAACCTCCACCATAAGCGCTCCGTCGTGCCTACCTCTACTTCCGCCTCAGGCGGTGAAGGGGGCGGTGGTGGGGACTGGAGGGAAGAATCCATAACCGGCGGATCACTTAAGCATGTGGATTTGGACAAGGGAAAAAACGGTTGGGCATCACCGCCGGGAGACCTATTCAATCTGCGAGGGCCAAACTACTTAACGAAAAAGGTGAAAGTACCTTCTGGCGCGTGGCTTCTACAGCCTGCCGGAGTCGATTGGCTCCGATCTAACTCCAAGCTCGACAACGTCCTGGCTCGACACGACAACCGTGTGATGAACGCGCTGAAGAAATCTCACTCTGAAGGCAAGTCTCTGAAAACCTTCATAGTCGCCGTGAATCTCCAAGTCCCTGGGCGTGACCAACACAGCGCGGTTTTCTACTTCGCTACAAACGACGATGAGCCGCTCGAACCGGGTTCTCTCCTCTATCGGTTCGTCAACGGCGATGATGCGTATCGTAACAGCAGATTTAAGATCGTGAACCGGATCGTGAAAGGACCGTGGATCGTGAAAGCCGCAGTTGGGAATTACTCAGCTTGTATACTCGGTAAAGCTTTGAATTGCTACTATCATAGAGGCCCTAATTACTTAGAAATCGACGTGGATATCGGTAGCTCAGCGATTGCTAGCGCTATTTTGCACTTGGCGTTAGGGTCGGTAACGTCGGTGACGATCGATATGGGTTTTCTGGTGGAGTCACAGACGGAGGAAGAGTTGCCGGAAAAGCTATTTGGGGCAGTTAGGATTTGTCAAATGGAGATGAGCTCAGCTACGTTTATTGATACGACGTCGTCAAGGAAGGTATTACCCACTGCTAATTTACATAATCCTAGCAATAGTAGCAGAGTCCAAGCTGAGGAGAACGTTGAAAACAAAGATGATTAAGAAGAAATTAAAACAAAATTACTTGATATTATTCTCTTAATGTTGAGGGAAATTGTTGGTTGAATCCATGTAGATAGATGACTAAGCTTAAGCTGTCCTTGTTTAATAAAAATTCATCTCTTCCTTTCATTAACTATCATTTCAGTTCAACTTTCCCCTACTTATAATTTACTAATTTTGATCAATACTACTGACAATTAGAAAATTAACAAAACAAGAAGCACTATATAAATATAAAACTAACATTATTTGTTCATGCATTTTTCTTATATATATGTGAAGGATTTTAGGTGATACGATAATGCTATTTTATATGGTGATGAGGTAATAATAATAAAATACAAAAAAAGCAAAATGGGTATAGAATTGACTAATTTTTGGATTTGTCTTTGTACTGCAATTATTTGGTGATTAACTAATAAATACTGCCGTTGCTTATGCCGGCGTATATGGATTTGGAATTTGTACTTTTGCCTTCTAAATACACATCATTTTGTTTGTTTTTGGTTTTCACTTTAATTATTGGTTTACCTTTTTTTTTCATTTAATTAATCAATTTCTAGGGGTATGTTTGGTAGGGAGGGAAATATGTTTTGATTTTTTTTAAATAATATTTGGGAGAAGCATTTTGTTTTATACCGAACACACCTTATATGTGTGCAACTCCGATTCCAAAGTTGGTTTAACCCTTTTTGCTTTAAGGCTAGTTGTATCTTAGTTTGATTAGGGAGACACGTGTTTTATGTGTTTAAATAAGTTAATAAGGTTGTTAATCGAGATAGATACAGACAAATTACGGTGGGATAAATAATTATTTTCTTCTCTAACTTTGTGCTTAATATTATATTAAACTTCCTCTCAAAGTTTTAGCTATACAATTTTTTTCCTGTTTATGTGATTTTTCAGTATATTTTGCTGGCCAAATGCGAAAATGTTTTATTGAAACAAAAGTTGTAGATTACTTTTTCTAGCCCATGTCTAAATGAATTGTTGGAATGTAGCACACTTCTTAAAAAAGGATGAATATAAAAATAAATTTCAATAATTTTATTAAATTTGAATTTGAATAATTTAATTAAAAAAAAATTCACGAGAGGAAGTTGTAATTTTTTCCACAATGTTGTCCTTGCATATTTTTCTGAATTGAGAAAAGGTTTGTTGAAAATTCTTCTGTAGGCACTTGCTCGTCTATGAACCAAAAAATAAAAAAAGTAACCCTCCTAAGGGAATCTTTTATCATGTGTCTCATGTTATTAAGGACCCAATTCTGAATATATATTTCTAAATTAAATACTCCAATATTAATAATAATACTTACAATTTAGCCAGTCCCCAAACAGTCTTGTGCATCTATCTAAAACACAAAAAGAAACTTTAGATACAAAATTATTCAGCATGCATGTGATTATGAAAGGAAAGAGGTTCTTAAAAATCTTCACTAGATTTTTTTAGATGCTTAGGTTGGGTAGAATTAAAGTAATAAGTAATCAATTTACAACTTTGAAGTCAATAATATGAACTTAGCATATGCAACTTGTTTGTCTAATAAATGCTGTTCCTTTGGAATGAAGAAACAAATTCATTGGTCAAATGCAACAATATGGACCATTCATTGAATGTTTAATTTAGAGCAGGAAGATTACATTCATTCTCTAAGGTTATGGTATAAAGCTTCTTCTCCAAATTATGAATTCAGAGTTCGTAAATTTAATGACTATAATATTATCATACATATATATTTTATTTTATTTTTTATACGAGATTCCGCTTTATAATCTCAAGTAAGTTGTTACATATAAAAGCAAAGGGACTTATAATTAATTACATGAAGAAGTTAAAAAAAGAAGAGATAAATACTCAAGTTCATTAAGCTAACAGAAGGTTGAGTGCAATGAATTAGGAGGTACGTTTTACTTCATACGGTTCATTTTAATTACCATGCTTATTATAAATACTAGATGGTGCCCAATATTTTCATGCGTGCAATTTTAGAAGTGATGGAGACTTATTTAATAGATAGGATGACATCTCTTTGAGCAGTTTACACACATTATTTACATAAATATTGCCTAGGTAAGCATATTGTTTGAATTGTTGGTATGTAAATATACGTTCGCAGTGAAGTTAGTATCAAAATGAGAAAGGTAAAATAGTAACGCAACTGCTATGCCATTGGCAGTTCTGATTGACAAAACACATGAAGAGGTTATAAAGAATGGACTTGCTTATATCTTCAAAACCTTTCTGCGAAAAACAAATGAGAGGATAAGATTATATATGATAGATGCAAGGTAATAAATAGGTAACAAGAAATCTATAAGTAAAGGAAGTATCAATGCTTTATTGTGTACTTAATAAACATGAACTGCAATAAAATGATAAACATAACATATACATATAAATTGATGAAAAATGCTTATTATAAGTTCATCAAATTCATACAACCAATATGATGGGTACTAGAAACTTTAATGTCATGATTTTCTTTCTTAATGAGCATCTTTAGATGTTCATAGGCAGTATAGTTATAGTCTATGCTATCAAGTATAACTCTAACTTTTGTATATGTTCATGCTAGTAGCTGCATATGCCACTAAATGATTTTTGATTTTTGTGTTTTGGGAAAATGTGCTGCTAGTCAACAAATTATGATCAAATTTTATGGGGTATATTTTTCTTGCATATTTAGTACATGGGAGGTGAGTTTTGTTTCAAAGGAGAACCTAGTTCCATGACTAATTGAATTATAGGGCACCACACTAAAGGCTACCAACTCTACCCAAATGATACACCCGAACAAACACAAGAAACTTATAAGCAACACAACCAAAGCAAGCTGAAGAGCTGTGAATTATTTTTACACAAAAAAAAAACCAATTAAGAGACATGCAAATTCAAGAAGCTAAGCGATAATAATCAAAGCAAGCAGAAGAGAAACACTTACCAAAGTCAAGGAGGTTGAACACACTGAAGAATAATAATCACAATAACACAGAATGAACCTGAAAGAGAGCATTTCAAAGAAATATTTGATCAAGCACAATTGTTATATTATTGAACCAACGTCTCTTGTGTGGAGTTGTTCAAAGTCAAGTTTGAGAACTGAAAGTAAGATTAGAGAAGCTATAGAGAAGTTGGAGGACACATTATTCTGGGAATGTTACACATAAATTTGATTTGGTTTGTGTTTTTTATTTTGTGGGTTATAATTTTGTGCTCTTTACTGTTGAATCAGTCCTTTTTGGAAATGAACTTGGATAAAAATGAGTAAGAGTCGCAAATGGACATAAAAATCAGAAGGATCAAGAATGTTATATATTTTAATACTTGTGGTTATTTCATTATATGCATATCACAATTAGCAATTTCACAAAGATGGACAAAAAAGCCACACTCACCGACTAAGAGAGTTGATGATCACAGAGGAATTTGACGACAAAAATATATACTCTCATTGATATAAGCCACGAATAGTAATGTCGTGCACATATGGTTGATTGGGACATACCTTGTTAAAGCATTGGACGTCACAGATGTTTTTGTTCAACATATTATTTTACTAATGTTGCAGTAAGCAACTCAAACAATAGAATAGAAACAGACAAATTACCTATCATTTAATAATTAAGAGAAGATGGCTGGCGTATGAAGTAATTAACATAAACATATGACAATAATCCAGATTTGAGATAATTCTTTATGTCGTTAAGTTAATATACAGTTAAGGAAGCTTGCTGTAAATTTCTTATAGATTCACCATTTTTCCAACAAAGCTAAATAATAAGTAACTAAAACCTTTCTATGAGCTAAGCTCACAACAAATTAAAAATGAATTTCTATTAAACAATGTCTAGAATCTCTTGCTATGTTAGCTAGTGAGGGCTAGGAATAACGAAATCATTTGAAATTGAAAGACTTGGTGCAGACACAAATTCAAACTTTTCAATTTTTGTGCCGCACCGGTGTCGGGTGTGGGTGGGCACAGTTATATTTCGTTTGGTGGTGAGTAAGTTTTACTGGATGGAGACCAGACCACAGCCGGAAAAGCTACTATCGAATCGAAGTATCAATTAAGTTAAGTGTGATGTTCCTCTCAAAAGTCTCTAAAACATGGATTGGATGCTAGTAAGTTCACTAAAACTTGATGAAGATCATATCAGAGAAAAGTAAGCTTACAGATTAGAATTCTTCAAAATTATAAGGTATCCTAATTAGAGGAATAATCATACAATACGAAAGAAAAAATGGCAGAGTCACTGATATACAAGTTTGAAAGCCACACAAGAGTTAAATTCTTAGTTGTTGGACATGTCTTGCATTACTTCAAAAAAGCCACACAACAGATGAGAGAGCGATGTGATGAAGGTAGGTGTTACGTGGCTTTTCAAATGGAGGATGAAAGACACGTATATGTGTGGATTGTAGTGAAAAGTCATAATTGTCCTTGACTTAAATTGTAATGACAACAACAACCAGGCATGTTGATACCAGCCTCTACTCATGCTTCTAAGTTCTAATATATATAGTAGAATAACTCATTTGATAATATTGTTATTTTAAAAAAATTATTAATTTTCACCTTTACCATGGAAATTAATGTTGTAAAATAGAGATTCATTCAAATTATTTATTTTGGACCTAGCTAGGTACTCTACTATTTAATGAGTAGCCTAGCCATTCTTTTCTTTCATTATCTTTGAGCTTGAATTATTGATTTCCAGGTATTTCTTTACCATTTTCTAATACATCAAATTTTATTGTTTTTCAATAGGCTTATTTGACTTTTGTAAATGAAAGTAGGTGTGATCTAATCAAAGAGAGTATTCCATCAATTTCATTTTATTAAGATATTTAACTGAATATAAAATTTAAGAAAACAAAAATATTTTTATCATTCATATAAAAGATACTACTTTCTCCGTTTCTTTTTATTTGATTTTTTCTTCCTTTTTCAAAATTTTGTTATGTTAATATGACACTCTCCTTAAGAAATTATTTATTGGGATTTATTTTATTAAATTATGGTAGAAAAAAT